CCACATCCCCACCATTCACCTCCCAGGTCCAGAGTTTCTACTGCAAAGGAACAGTATACAAGGAAATCTGAGACTATTTCTCCATGTGTTTTTCTTCATTAGGAAATTATTTCCACTGCAAGGATCAGTTCTGTTCTCATCCCAGTGTTTAGTACATGGTAGGCATAAAATAAACATTACATGAAATAAATGTCAAATTTCCTCTATGCAAATCATTAATGTAACTAGTCCTGAGTTTTATTTTATTTCAGCACTATGTCAGTCTTCTAATAAACTCAGTATTCTTTAACTTAAAAACAGGTTAGAAATAAGTCTGAAAGTTCTGGGATGACAGCTTGGGAAAGCTGCTGGCTAGGCAACTTATAGCAGCAAGATATGCCTGCTTCCTATAAAGGAGAAAAGCAAAGCTATTTAAAAAAAAAAAAAATTCAACAATGGAATCAATCCAACTAGTCTGAGGCCATTTTGCATTGGGGCAAAACACCCCAAGTATTTGTATCATCATTAATGGTTACTGTGTGCATACTGTGCCCAAATTTGTCCCAAGCATTCTGTGTAAATAACTAATTTAACTTTCACAAAAATTATACATAGGTATTATCAGTCACATTTTAGAGATAAGGAAATGGAGAAAGGAAATGTCCAAGTTGACATAACCAATCAGTGACAGAGCTGAGATCATTCAGGCAATATGACTCCAGAACCCACACTCTACCACACTGAGCATAGCCTGATGCAATCACTAAAGGAATGGCAAACTGCAATCACCTTGAAAATTATTTTAATTTTGCGCAATACTGTCTAAGTAGGAAAGCAGGGAAATGTCATGATATGTTTGTAAGAATTATCAAAGTCAGTGATGCTACTGAAGGTTCATTACATGAGTGACTGAGGAACGGCAAACCCCTAACACTCTGAGCTCTACAGTCTGCATCTTACATCCTTCTCGACAAACTCCTTCCCTAGTAAACCCTTCATCTCCCCCATAATAATTCAATTCAGTGATGAATCAACCCACAAGCTGCAAGACTACAGAAATTAAATGTGTACAGTTTTTTGGGTCTCATACCTCATCTGGAGAAAGCAGGGCTAAAATCATTTACACCAGATACTAGTATGAAATGTTACCTCATCTCCTATTAACATAACAGCACACCCATTAACTTTGGTCATGCCCTCTACGCTGACCAGTTAATGACACATCCAACCCCACATCCTGAATCCACAACAGAAGCTGGCTATTCCTAAGACAGGGCAGACACCAATCACAGCCTTACCTTCCCTTTCAGCGTCTGCAAAGCATCCAGGTATGCTGCCAGCATGGGCAGACTCAAGGTCTCCACAAGGGTGGTGTGCAGCCACTGGATCAGCTTGGTGTCCCAGCTCACACTTGCCAGAGCCTGCCGCACTCTCCTCGCACACTTGTCCACGGCAACACGACGCAGCACTGGCTCATTACAAGCCTGAAGGATGTAAGTGGAAGTGATAAAACATGAGGACCACCTGGTTAGCAAATAGGGGGGACAAGTCAGTCAGCCAGTGAGGCCTGAACTAGGAAGAGCCCACCATGGGCAGATTTCTGGTGTCTTACCCCTTCATTGGCCAAGCGGGCAAGGCGGTCAGACTGCAGGGCTTTGAGGATCTTGTTGAATAGCTTGTTCTGGGCCATTGTCCAGCCAGTCCTATAAGGAAAACTCTGAGGAATTATAGTCAAACCCTTGGGATACTCCCTATGTATGTACACTATATTAACAAGATTATGCCACGTTTTTTAATTCCCACTATGAGAGAGCATAAGTGAAAGTAGCTTAATCTAAGACCACTAAGCTTAAACACAAGACCTAGATTTTGGAGTTAATCCTGCCAAAGAATCGCCTCAGCACACAGTGTGTAACATACACACTACAAGCCTAGACCACCTGTGAATGAAATCTTTTACGCTAGCAAAGCTAATTAAAATCTCATTAGTAAAGAAAAGCATGACACCATTGCACAGATGTATTTAAATTTCACAAGCTGTATATTTCCCACAAAAAAGCAAGCTGGATCAGCAAGTATTTTAATGTACCAAAATCTCAGACTATGGTAAGAGATCTAGGCCAGGTGTGGTGGCTGTAATCCTAGCACTAGCACTTCCAGAGGCTGAGGCAGGAGTGTCCCTTGAGCTAGGAGTTTGAGGTTGCAATGACCTATGATGATGCCACTACACGCTAGCCTGGGAGACAGACCCTGTCTCTCAAAAAAAAAAAAAAAAGAGGTTTATTAATTAGCCTTAAGACTGTATTTCCTTATAGCAGATATATAGCCATAAAGTGGCTTCTCTCCCACTCCTCAATACCACATATTCCACTCCATACTAACCTCTCCCTTTTCCATATATATTTTTGTATCTTTTCTGCATGTCATATAATTAGTAAATTTATTTTTCCACTGCCTTCCCTATACACTAACATTTTCTTATCCCAGCATGTACCACTGGCATTCACACACCTATCTTGCTGACAGATGGTTTTGTATGTCCTTCTCCAACTCAGCTGTACACTCTTTGCTATTAGAAATCTATCCTACTGGCTCGGCGCCTGTGGCTCAAGCAGCTAAGGCGCCAGCCACATACACCTAAGGTGACGGGTTCGAATCCCCAGCCTGGGCCCGCCAAACAACAATAATGGCTGCATCCAAAAAATGGCCAGGCGTTGTGGCGGGCGCCTGTGGTCCCAGCTACTTGGGAGGCGGAGGCAGGAGACTCGCTTGAGCCCAGGAGTTGGAGGTTGCTGTGAGCGTGATGCCATGGCACTCTACCCAGGGGGATAGCTTGAGGCTCCGTCTCAAAAAAAAAAAAAAAAAGAAATCTATCCTACTGTTCTCATCCCCACCTCAGGACACCCAGCACAGTGAACTGAGGAGTTTACTAATGTCCCCCTTCACCCTACTCCCAGCAATCTTAATTACTCTGGTAATCTAATCTGGCTAAGTAGCCTTCCAAAGGATACTAAGAGAAAGGCAACAGAAGATGCTCAATAAATATTTGTTTACCTACTCTCCCTGCCATAAAAAAAGGTGATTAAATTACCTTTTAAGATTTAAGTGGGCAAAACTCAAAGACTCTGTAATGAGATCAAGGTAGCCAAGTCAGTCAGGATAAGGTCACTAAGTAGAGCTGAGACAACCACTTGGCACTGGAAAATCTGATCCTTACATATCACTCTTTACATCAAAATAAATTTCAGGTTGAATAAAAAGTTAAATAATAAAAAATAAAACTACTGAAGTTCTAGGAAAAAACAGTAATTTCTAAAAAAATGTCCAAAAATAGTGAAATCTTGGGATGAGTATGGATTCGCTAAGGATGATCTAAAATGTAGAAAATATAAAAGGAAAAGAGAGAAGTGTTATTGCATAAAAACTTCAAACTTCAGGGCCAGGGACAGTGGCTTATGCCTGTAGTCCTAGCACTCTGGGAGGCCAAGGCAGGTCAACTGGCTGAGCTCAGGAATTTGAGAACAGCCTGAGCAAGAGCAAGTCCCCATCTCTAAAAATAGCTGGGCATTGCAAGGGACCTATAGCCTAGCTACTTGGGCGGCTGAGGCAAGAGGATTGCTTAGCCCAAGACTTTGAGGTTGCTGTGAACTATAACGTCATAGCACTCTATTGAGGGCAACTCTTATCTGTTTAAAAAAAAAAACAAACCAAAAAATACCTTCAAACTTCAGTAAAGAAAAAAAGTATCATAAAGTCAAAACACAATGGGAAAATAATTGTCATGTCATTAGAAGAGAAAGAGGCTTGGGCAGCGCCTGTGGCTCAGTGAATAGGGCACCAGCCCCATATACGGAGGTGGCAGGTTCAAACACAGCACCAGCCAAACTGCAACAGCAACAACAAAAATAGCTGGGGGCGGGCAGCACCTGTGGCTCAGTGGTAGGGCGCCGGCCCCATATACCAAAGGTGGCAGGTTCAAACCTGGCCCTGGCCAAGCCAGGTGTTGTGGAGGGCACCTGTAGTCCAAGCTACTCGGAAGGCTGAGGCAAGACAATCACCTAAGCCCAAGAGCTGGAGGTTGCTGTGAGCTATGACATCATGGCACTCTACCAAGGGCAACACAGTGAGACAAGAAAGAAAAGAAAGAAAGAGAGAAAGAGTGAGCACAGCTTAGTACCTATAGCTCAAGCGGCTAAGGCACCAGCCACATACACTAGAGCTGGCAGGTTTGAATCCAGCCCTGGCCTGCCAAACAACAATGACAACCACAACCAAAAAACAGCCAGACATTGTGGCAGGCACCTGCAGTTCCAGCTACTTGGGAGGCTGAGGCAAGAGAACAGCTTAAGCCCAAGAGTCGGAGGTTGCTGTGAGCTGTGATGCCATGGCACTCTACCCAGGGTGACAGCTTGAGGCTCTGTCTCAAAAAAAGAAAAAGAAAAATAGCCAAAGACATTACAAATGGAAGAACATACCACGCTTGTGGCTGGGAAGAATCAACATTGTTAAAATGTCTATACCCAAGGCAATCTATAGATTCAATGCAATCTTCATTAAAATACCAACATCTTATTTTAAAGAACTGGAAAAAATAGTTCTTTGTTTTGTATGGAACCAGAAAAAACCCACATAGCCAAGGCTATTCTTACTAATAAAAACAAAGCTGGAGGCATCACTCTACTAGACTTCAGGCTATATTACAAATCCACAGTAATCAAAGCAGCATGGTATTGGCACAAAAACAAAAGACATAGACATATGGAACAGAACAGAAAACCAAGAGATGAAACCAGTCTCTACTTGTCATCTGACTTTGATAAACCAAAAAGCATACAATGGAGAAAAGAATCCCTATTCAATATAATGGTGCTGGGAGAACTGGATAACCACATGTAAAAGACTAAAACCGGGCTTGATGCCCGTGGCACAGTGCCAGTCACATGCACCAAGAGTGGTTCGAACCTGGCCCAAGCCAGCTAAACAATGACAACTGCAACAATAAAAAAAATAGCCAGGGGTCGGCGCCTGTGGCTCAAGTGGCTAAGGCGCCAGCCACATATACCTAAGGTGGCGGGTTTGAATCCAGCCTGAGCCTACCAAACAACAATGACGGCTGCAACCTAAAAATAGCCAGGCCTTGTGGTGGGCACCTGTGGTCCCAGGTACTTGGGAGGCAGAGGCAAGAGACTTGCTTGAGCCCAGGAGTTGGAGGTTGCTGTGAGCTGTGATACCAGAGCACATTCTACCTAGGGGACAACTTGAGGCTCTGTCTCAAAAAAAAAAAAAAAATAGTCAGGCGCTGTGG